TGTATGTATTTTTTTTTCTTCTACTATAAGAAACGGAAACTATTGTGCACAGTTTAGGAAGCTAGAAGCCCGAATTCAGGCTGCCTGCCAGCTCTCTATAGTTTTAAGTGAATGCCAAGGTCACATATTCGACAAAAGGTGACAATTACTTCTTGCTAGGAGGTAGGCTCCATGGGACAGGGCCCATGGTGTTGGGTCCTCTTTGCTGAGCTCAGTGTGACACATGAAGGACACTTAGCAAACATCTGAGGGGTCACTGTCAGACTAAGGCACACAAAGAGCAATTCACGACCCTTGACAGCACCAAAGGACTCACAATGCAAATGCACAGAGTGACAAAGTGCCACAAAGAGTTCAGTGACATGCTCCTGGGAGACCACAAAGTCAAAGCAGCCTTCTGCTCATGCTGGGCTTTAAAGGCCAGGTAAGAGCCTAGCAGAAGTGCCCACAGTTCCAGATGGAGCAAGTAATGTGAGATTATATATGGAAGGCCAGCCAGAGGCCAAAGGAGGCTGGTGAATCAAGGCAAGACAGGAGGCTGAATAGGTCATCACAAAAGATTAAGATTTCTATACTAAGGAGCCGAGACTTGACTTGAGGGTAGTGGGCAGCCCCAGAAGGTACTTCATGGATGTATGGGAAGCAGTTTGACCAATACTGTCACAGCCAAGGGAAGGGGTTGAAATATTGCCTCAATCTCTGCTGTCCGGTGTTTGTGTCAGCACCATGCAGCCAGTGTTATCAGAGCACTGCTAGCTGGCATCAGCAAACTGAAATGGGAATTTCATTTGGGAGGAAAGAGACAGTGGTCCAGGTCTATTGGAGTCACAGGGGGCGAACAGCACCTTTCAGGACCATGCTATACAGGCACCTTCCCCATCTCTCTCTTAAGTTTATAATATGCCTATATCACTGCGGTTAATGCACTGGACTGCAAGGTTGGTTTGAACTGCAAGGTCAGCAGTTCAAGCTCACCAGCTGTTCCTTGGAAATCCTACACAGGGTTGCTAAGAGCCAGAATCGACATGATGGTACTAAAACAACAACATATCAAATCTACAGGGTAGAGAACTAGGCAAGTATCTGCGAACTGGGGTCTCCTGAAAGTGGGAAATCTGTACATTGGAAATAGTCTTCAACCATGATGTTCTGATGTCATAATGCAGCTGGAGTGCTGACATCCATCTGGAGAGAACTAAGAGGCTGAGCTGTAGGTGTGGACAATGGAAGTCTCGGTAAGGCTTTTCTACAAGCATAAGAGAGGAGATTTCGTTTCTAGAGGATTTCATCTCTGAATGGCTCAAAAGACTTTGAAACATTGACTTCCATGTTCCAAATATCCTCCTCCCCACCTCAAGTACTGGTCTCTCTGACCCAGACACAGCATTTCACACTAAATTTAAAATTTGTCTTTTCATTTAAAGGATATTTATTTGCTCCATTCATGGGTGATTTTAGAAGGTTTTTAGAACTAATCTAAACATAAAGCTCTTCTCAAAGGTGGTGGTGTGTCTTGGAGTCGGTTCCAACTCGTAGTGACCCTGTATAGGGTTTCTGAGGCTGTAAATCTTTACAGGAGCAGAAAGCCTCATTTTTCTCCCACGGAATGACTGGGAGTTTTGAACTCCTGACCCTGAGGTTAGCAGCCCGACTTGTAACCATGATGCTACCAGAACTCCTTTATAGAAGTAAAAGAAAACACTATCTACAACATAGGGACATGGCATATCTGGGAAAGTTTTAAATGGGCAAGCCAATTTCTATGGTGAAATAGGCTAACACTGGTGGCTACTGGCCATGAGACCAACAGATCCCGTGATGTGGTGGGAAACCGGCTGCTAATCTGCCTTTCCTGCAACATATTCCACAAGAAAACAAGTAAATTAATTCAAAAGGCTCAAGGCAGCAAATTCCAAAGAATGATTTTTCCATTGTTCTCCTACCAATCAAACCCAGGATCACCAAAAGGATGCTGACTCATTAGTTGTTTTGGGGCCAGCTCACGGTTTTAAAGGATATGAAGCCAAACAATTTTCCTATAAAGAAAAGAAAAAAAGTAGTTGTATTCTTAAGCCACCTCTGCCGGTGAGCCGGACTGGCCATCTGCCGTGGACAGAAGCAGGGTCCTCTGCATAGAGAAGCTCTCCAGACCACTGTGTGTGGGGACAGAACACTGATAACCCTTTCACGCTGGAGCTGTTGTGTGGATAGGGGCAGGGACAGTTGTCCTTTGTAACAGTCTGCTGTAAAAAGTCTCTTTTGAGTTGGAGTGAAAGGGGACACGAACCATATCAAATCCCTGAGAAGCAAGGGAGTGTTGGCCCTCCAGCTTTGTGGATTGCCTCTCATGTGGGTAGGACCACAGGAAGGATGTCTGCAGGCTGCAATGTGAAGTTCCTGCTGGGCTTGGGAACTTTCCATTACCTTCTTATCTGCTTCATTTCCTCCTCTGGACCTCCCTTCTTGTGGGGTTTCCTGTCTCCTCTAATACCCATTTTCCCCATCTCAACTTTCCAGGCCTGGGTATAATGCCTACAGGGGACTGCTCTCAGAAGAGATCAGTTAAAGCATCCCTGGGGCCATGTGACAGTAGGACCTGACATTGTTTGATGAACGGTGGGCTTAGAAGGTACCAGAAAAAGACCAGGCTTTGAATCCTGGATGTTCTACTTTCTAACCATAAGATGCTGAGTTGTTGTTGTTTTTGTGCCATTGGGTCAGATCGGACTCATAGTAACACTGGATAGGGTTTCCAGGGAGCCAGCTGGTGAGTTTGAATCACCGACTATGAGGTTAGCAGTTCAGTGCTTATCCTACAGCGCCACATACATAAATTCTCTCTTGATAATTTAAAACGCAAACTACTCAAAACTTCCTATCACACTAAGAATAGATTACCTTCAGGGTTTCCATTTCATTTTTCATTTCTGCTTTCAAGACTTTCTCTTTATATTTGATTTCCACCAGGTTCACTACGCTGCATGTTTTTCTCTGTATTTTACTCTGCTTGGGGGTTCACTGAGCTCCAAGGACCTGATGCTAATGCCATTTGTTATTATTCTTTTACAATGTTCAGCTAGTATGTCTTTAAATAATTCTTCTGAGATTCCGATTATACACGGACTGTCTGTCATTGTCCCATGAATCTCAGATGCTTTTTCCTCACCTCATTTTTCATTTTCTCATTGTGTTTCTATTTAGATAATTTTTATAGATAAGTCTTAAAAATGTACTGATTCTCTCTCTCCTGTGTATAGTTTACTGATAAGCTAACTGAACAAATTCTTTTCTTCTGATATCGTTTTTTTTTTTCTCTCTTATTTCTAACACTTTCCTTTGGCTTAAAGATTTTTTCCTGTCTCTCTATGAAAAGTCCCATCTATTCATACTTGTCCACCTTTCCCACTAAGTCTTTTAATATATTTATAAAAGTATTTTAAAGGTGTGGTAATTCTAACACCTGGGCTATCTCTTGTTAAGTGCCATTGACTCACAGTTACTCTGTATAGTGTTTACAAGAAGTGGTTGGTGGGTTTGAACCACCAACCTTGTGGTTAGTAGTCCCGTGCTTTTTATTGACTGTATCCTTTCTTTTTTTTAGTGTTTTATTGTGAATTATATGATAGTTTACATGGGAGAACATTAGTTTTACATTCATTCTATCGTACATCGTATCATTGCCATGGTTACAATCCCCTCCATACATCATCAACCAACCAAAACGTATACCCTGCAAGCCTGCCCCCTACACTATCTTCCCCTCCCCAGTCTTTAGCACACAGTCGCTCTCCCTTTCTGGATCTAAAGTCCCCAGCTGCTCCATCGTTCCACATCATTGTCTCTGCCTCCATCTCAGGAATCACTGTTTCTCTGGGTAGGGTCCCGCTCTTAGCTCTTCTCTGATGATGGTCCTAGGGACCTCAGCTCCTAGACTGAAAAGTTAATCACTTCCTTCCTTGCTATGAAATGTCTACCTTTACATTTCCAACCTTCACAATCAGTCCTGATAACAATTATTCACTATTGTATCACAAGAGACCCATCTGCATTTCATTTCATCAACTCCGCCTAGGCAGATTGGATGCTACTCACTGGAGATTCTGCCTTCCTCCAGGCCCTCTGTCTCTGACTGTATCCTTTTTTAAAGGAGCTCTGGTAGTGTAGTGGTTATGAATTGGGCTGTGAACTGCAAGGACAGTAGTTTGAAACTACAAGCTGTTCCGCGGGAGAAAGATGAGGCTTTCTGCTCCTGTAAAGATTTACAGCCGCGGAAACCCTGTACAGGGTCGCTATGAGTCGGAACCGACTCCACGGCACACAGCCACCACCACAACCACCACATCCTTTCTTAATGATGGGTCTGGTCTTCCTGATTTTTGAGTGTAATGTAACTTAAAATTTAAAATCTTACAGTTGAATAGGAGAAAGCTTGGCACCACATTTCTGACTTGTTTATTACACTTTTCGGGCTTTTTATGACAGTAATTTTAGTATTGTTGTTGTTGTTAAGTACCGTCTAGTCGGTTCCTACTCACAGTGACCCTGTATAGGGTTTCCGAGGAGCAACTGGTAAGCTTGAACCATTGAACTTGTGGTTCAAACTGACTTTGCAATCCAGCCCATTAACAGGTAGCACCATACCAGGACTCCAATTTTAGTACTAACCTAATTTATTACTCCATCTTTTCTTCCTACTCTATTTTTCCTTTTATTTCACTTCATGTTTTTCTTTTTTAATTTTCTCTGCTTTAACGAACTAATCAAAACACCTGGGTTTGAATCCAGGTTTACACTAGTTGTATACTCTTGTGATAAAGAAAAAATACGTAATTCTTTAGTCCTTAATTTTTCCATATACAAAATACAAATGATGGTTCCACTCCATAGAATTATGTTGTTTTATAGTGCCATCGAGTCAGTTCTGATTCATAGCAACCCTGTGTAGGGTTTCTGAGAAGTGACTGGTGAGTTCGAACCGCTGACCTTGTGGTTCAAACTGACCTTGCAGTGGACTAAGATAAAACTCATAAAAGATGTTCTCTGTATACATCAACTATTGCTATATTACTTTGTTTTTGTTTTGTTTTTTATAAAGGAGCCTCAAATACTTCTGGAATAGGGTGGAATAACATTGACCAGGGTTTTACGTTCTGGAGCATTTAAGTTTTTTTTTTTAATAAACAGAATCAGCTTCATTCAGGGGTGAGCAGATAGTACTCAGTACCCCACTGTGGGCATTCTACACATTAAACATTTCCACTAGGGCGAATACAAACATCTGTTGATTTACACAGCAATTACTTTCCTGGAAAATTTAGTGTTTATTAAAACTGTGCTAAAGATCTAGATTTTATAAACCCGCATGAAACCCCAGAAGGGCTTTGAATGTTGTGTGGGAAGTGGACAATTCTTTCTTATACAGGGCTGTCCTGTACACTGAGAGGCATCTTCCATTCCTGGGCTATACATGGTGAGGACATCTGGTGTGGCTGTAGGATCAGCACTGGACTGCAAACCACAAGGTCGGCAGTTCAAAGCCACAAGCTGCTCCTTGGAAACCCTATATAGGGTTACTATGAGTTGGAACAACAGTAACAACCACCACCCATGGTGAAGGGAAGCACCTTCTTCAGATCATGGTGACAGTGATGATAGATGCTCAATACTGACTGAGCTCTGGGGAGCTTTTGTACGTGAACATTTTATATACATTAGCAATTCATCCTCACAAGCATCCAATAAAAAGACTTGTGACTATTAGGCCTAGTCTAAATTGATGCTCACAGGGTAAGTAATTGCCTTAGGGGCCACAGTGGTAGACTTAGAACTAGAACCCAAGCTGTCTGATTCCAGTTCTGCCCTTATAACCACACATGCATTGCTTCTCTTACAAACTTGTAACAGCATATAAACGTGCCCTCTGGTAGGGGCCTACAGGGAGCGGGGTGCACCTGACAAAGCCCTATGAAGTACAGGGTTGGGGAAGAGGATACCTTAACTCATCCCGAGTGGTGGTGGTGGCTGTGTACCACTGAGTCAGCTCCAACTCATAGCGACCCTGTTTCCAAGAAGCAGCTGGTGGTGCCAACAGTAACATGCTTGGTTGCTAACCAAATGGTTGGAAGCTCAAAACCACTCAGAAGTGTTTGGGAAGAATGGCCTGGTGGTTTACTACTGAAAACTCAGCCACAGAAAACTCTACGGAGCACAGCTGTACTCTGACACACAGGAGGTCATCATGAGTGGACTAGATGACAAGCTGGTCAGAGAGGTTCAGGGAGGGACAGTAGACACCTAACACATGACTGCTGAATTTGTCAGAAGAGTCAAGAAATGGTACTCACTACGGCATAGTGGGTTAAGTGTTGGGCTTCTAACTGCAAGGCTGACAGTTCAAACCCACCAGCTACTCTGTGGGAGAAAAACGAGGCTGTCTGTTCCCATAAAGATTTATAGACTCAGAAATGAAAGGCAACAAACAGTGATACTCTGTCTGACAGGGTCTCTATGAGTCAGAATCAACTTTATGACCATTTTTTTTTTTTTAAATATATAAAATATTTCAGAGGAAAAACAAAATAAAGGGATGCTATAGGAAAACTTTCTCAGTATTTAATTATTCCTTATCTCTTTTTTTAGGGGAACCAATAGGTGCAGGCCTATCTTTTCAGATCTTTCAGTGGGCTACCTAACAAGATCTCTGACCCAAGTGTAATTCACACTCCTACAGCTGTGCCTGCTGCTCAAGACTGATGCTAAGAGCTTGTAGAACCAATGCAGCATCTGGATACCCACTTCATTTTCATCCCACCCAATCAAAACCCTCCAGCTTGTGTATTTGTTAACTCCAGGGCTAAGTTGCCATGGAAAAGCTCTACTTGCTAAAATAAAGAGCCTGGAATGCTCACCACACATTCCAGTTAGAAATGGGAAAAACACAATAATAATAGTAATAATAATAATAAATACCTTTTGATTTAAAATCGCTTTCACTGCATCCTCCACTTCCTCCTGGTTATTGAGGTCCACAGTCCACACGTGTGGCCGACCGATGAAAACTTCAGCATAAGGATGCTGAGATGTCAGCTGGGGAAGAGAAACCAACCATTTCAGAGCTGTACCCATTTACTTTCTTGTAACCTTTTGGGTTACAGGAAATGTGAAGCATTATATGGTGTCAAATTGTGCTTGTGTAGGCAACAAAACATTTCTATCCTCAGTGACACAAATCTCTCAAATATCTTTAAGCAGATAACAATAAAATAAAATAGTGATGACTGCAAAATAGACAGTGTTGTTGTTGCTGTTAAGTGCTGATGAGTTGGTGCCAATGCATAGTGACCCTGTGTAGGGTTTCCAAGGACTGACTTGTGGGTTTGAACAGCCAACTTTGTGGTTAGCAGTCCAGTGCTTATCCTACAGCAGCCCCAAAGATAGATACAGGACTCCAAAGATAGATACTACTACCCGTTCATCAGTCTGTTCTACCGTGGGGGATTATTTGTTGCTATGATGCTGGAAGATGTGCTAGTGGTATTTCAAATACCAGCCGGGTTGCCTATAGTGGACAGACTTCAGCGGAGCTTCCAAACTAAAACAGACTAGAAAGGGAGGCCTGGTGACCGTTGTTGTTAAATGCCATCGAGTCCCTTCTGACTCATAGTGACTCTGTATAGGGTTTCCAAGGAGTGGCTGGTGGATTTGAACTACTGACTTTATGGTTAGCAGTACATTGCTTATCCTGTAATGCCACACCAGACCTCTATTCCTAAAACTAGCCAATGAAAATTCTATGGGTCCTAACAGGATATTGTGTGATGCAGTGCTGGAAGATGAACCCCTAGGATGGAAGACACTCAAACTACACAGTGGCTCCAAAAATGGACTCACACATAGACGAGGCTGTGAACAAGGCACAGGATTTGGACAATGTTTCATTTGCCCATTACATGGCTTGCCATACGTCACAGCTCATGGGCTGGCAATTAACAATCACCAAAATATGGATGGCTCTAAATCTGGGACTGCACTTGGAAACAAGAGATAGAATGTCACAATCAAGTGACATAAAGCTGTGACAGGTAGCTTTGGCCATACCTAGACACAGATCAGACCAGTGCCTATTATAAACAGTAATGAGGACAAACAGGAAGCATGGGAAAACTACAATGGAAATTGAAGCTTTAAAGTCCTAAGAGGATGAATAATGATGTGCACAGAACAGACACATGACAGAATGAAAATGATTGTACCAGAAAACGGAATTTCAGAAATATGCATTAGCATTGCACAGAGCCTTGGTATTCATACAGACAATTTGCAATCAGAAGAGCAAGGTAGGGTAGTGGATGTCCTAAAGGAGGTTTTATTTTAAGAACAAAAGGGTGGCCAGGAAACCAAGTGTTAATATTGTTAATGCACAGCTCTTGAAGACAGCTACACTTGTCCCTCAAACTTTTCTCCACCTTCATTTTCGTAGCCCTTTAAGATCATGGTTTTAAGGCAACATTCTGAGCATTTGTGAGAATATTTTTGTTCATCACAATGATTGGGGGAGGTGCTACCCTTCACCCAAGGATGGGGCCCAGGAATGCAGGATGCCTGTCAAGTGTACGGAAGAAAGACAGTCTACCTCCCACGCAACTTTCAAAGCCCTATGGGCTTTCAGGAAGGAACCCTGGTAACATAATGGATTGTGAGCTGGGCTCCTAACTGCAAGGTCAACAGTTCAAATCTACCAGTCACTCCATGGGAGAAAGAGGACACTTTCTGCTCTCTTAAAGATGAACAGCCTCAGAACCCCTATACACAGTCCCTATGAGTTGGAAACCCTCAGAGTCCCTATGAGTTGGCAATGACTCCACAACACACAACCACCACACACACAACCACCATGACAATCAACACACAACACACCGCAACCATGACTTTCAGGTGGCTTTATACATTCTCACTCTTTGACACAGTTTTAATGTACATTGAATTTTTCAGGAATGTACTATTCATGTATCTCAAGGGATGTGTGTATTCTTATTTTATCTGGAATTTCATAAAAAAATCACTACCATGTCAGAAAACACACGAAATCCATGCCAGTACCACTCATGATATCTGAGACTCTAGAACAACGCACACACATCAGTCTGTATCTGTACCTATCCCACTAATAGAAATTATTTATGTATATGTAGTTATGGTGGTGGTGTTTATGTGCCATGGGGTTGGTTCCGACTCATAGCGAGCCTGTACAGGGTTTCCGAGGCTGTAAATCTTTATGGGAGCAGAAAGTCTCATCTTTCGCCTGCGGAACAGCTGGGCTTTTAATTTAGCGCCTGTTTCACAATATCAATATAAAGGAAAGAGGACTGACCCCATTCAGCTGAAGGTTTGCTCCCTCCTCAATATCACCTTATTCATTTAAAGGAATGAGGCATCAAGATCTCACAGTGGAGCTCTGAGTGTTCTTACTGAACTATGTGGTAACGTCATTATAAACTATTTTCCTTTAATTTCTCCTTTATGTTGGAGTTGGGGTATGATTCCTTTTCAGTATTCTATATCTAGGCAGGTTATTTTATTTATGCATGTCATTTTTGGGAGGAAAATAGATGACACAATCAATGTATTTATTTGTTAGAAAAGGAGGCACTAGTTTGATAGCAAAGTCTCCATGGTGCAAGCAGTTAACCTACTTGGCTCCTACTTGAAGGCTGGAGATTCAAGTCAACCCAGAGTCAGAGTTGACACTAAGTTTCTCCTGACTCAAGTCATGGTATTTTCAATCACCTCATATGATGTGAAAGCTAGACAACGAATAAAGAAGACTAAGGGAGAACTGATGCACTTGAATTTCAGTGTTAGGGAATAATATTGAAAGTACCATGTATTGTCAAAAGAACAAACATATCTGTGTTGGAGAAAGTACAGTCAGAAAGCTCTTCAGAAGCGAGATGGCAATACTTTGCTTCACATACATTGGATATGTTATCAGGAGGCACCAGTCCCTGGATAAAGACACTTTGCTTGGTAGAGGGTCAGCGGAAAAGAGGAAGACTTTCACTGAGACAGACTGACACGGCGGCTGCAACAATGGATGAAAATATAACTATCAGGAACATGGTGCAGGACTGGCTAGAGTTTCCTTTTGTTGTAGGTAGTGTCACTATAAGGAGCTCTGGTAGTGTAGTGGTCCCAAGTCGGGCTGCTAGCCTCAAAGTCAGCAGTTCAAAACTACCAGCAGTTCCACGGGAGAAAGATGAGGCTGTCTGCTCTGTAAAGATTTACAGCCTTGGAAACCCTGTACAGTGTGGCTATGAATCGGAACCGACTCCACGGCACATAACCACCACCACCAGTCACTATGTGTCAGAGCTCATGCAATAGAACCCAACAACAACAACAACAGTAAAGATTCTCAGGTTCTCAGGGGTTTACCATTTCCCAAGACCATAAAGCCAGAAAACAGCAGATCCTTCAAGAAATTTGCAGCTTTGTATAGAAAGGAAGAAGCACATTTGAAAGTAGGATGCTGAGTTCTTAAGATAAGAAAAAAGTCCCACACAAACACCAGTCTTTTAATTACCCTGAAAACTTGCAACCTGAAAAACCTCAGGGCTGACTTTATGCCTGTATTAGACTGATTCAGAAGATGAGGAAACTGTCACAACATTTTCATCTTGGGGCCTTGGGAACAAATTAATTCGTTCTGACAATGGAATCAGGGTAAATCCCCCTTTTTAGATCCTTTCTTATTTACAAAGTTGCTTCTAAGCAGTTGGAAAATACACAGCGCTGAAGCATTATTATTTCATTCATTTACATTTATTGAGGGTTACTTAATTCCATGAGTAAACTGTGTTGTGATTCATCATTCCCCCTCTGAATGCAATGTTCCTCCTTGTTAACTTAGTGAGAACTGTCTGCTATGAGTGATTTCATTGTATATCCATCAGGAAATGCACTAGAGTTTGTAAAAGTAATGAAAATCTTGTTAAATATGAGGCATGACTCCAGAGCTGCTATTCAGTCTCGAAGGAGAACACGGGTTCTCTTTACAGGAAAAATACCAAAATCACAACAACCCACAAACAAATACTGAAGCCAGAGAATTTCTAATGGTTTATAAAATACCAGAGCAGTGATCAAGACTGCACTAATATGTTTCCCAATATAAAGATAAAAATCCAATTCACATTACATTTAAAGTGTAAGTTGAACAAACACATTAGTTAAGGCATTATGGAAGGTTCCCCCGCCCCCACTTTTAGTAGAGATTGTGGCTTTAAAAATTGGTCTAATACAAAAATAAGAAGCAAAACTCCTATTTCAAAATCCAGATTTCTCTTCAAATGATGGCAAGGAAGAGATATATATATGCAATTTATATGGGGAAAACTGCAGCTCTGTGTGAGCACAAAAAAATAGCTACGTAATCATGCATACTTTGACATTTTTTCTACCTGATGAAGAAAAAGTGTATTTTCTAGGGAAATTTGACCCTTAGAAATCCGTGAAACTGTTGAGGGCTCTTTCCCAATCAAAAACATATTTGGTTAGGGGACTGTGGCCACAGGAAAGAACTTTCAGAGAAAGTTTACTAACCCACAGCAAAGTGGTGGGGGTGGTGAAGGCCCAGCAGTAGGGATTTCATCTTTCGACAGGTTTGATTCTTGGCTAACATACCTTCTGTCTCTTAATCCACATGGGTCACAAGGATCCCATGTATAACTGTCCATGGGATAGCACAAGACTTGGCAGTACTAATTCCATTGTGCACTGGGCTGCCATGAGTTGGGGGGCTAACAACTCAAAGTTAAATGGCTTTGCCAGCTACTAGTGCCCGATGTGTACCGTTCCCAGCAGAGCAGAAGATGGACATCAGTGGAACCTGCCTTCCTATGTAAAGTAAGTGGCCTTCTTGGGGTCTCCCTCCAACTTGTCAAATTCATGCCTCTCATGCTTGAGACTCCCCCTCCTCTTCCTTTAAAGGGAGGCTCCTCCACCCGGTCCTTTGTAGTTAACATAGCACATTCTTCCCAACACAACTCTCAGGTAACGTCTCTCCTTAATTCACTTTGCATATTTTTAGGCACTTCTGTTAATTATTCATCTATCTGATTACCCTTCAATATCAGATTCTGAGCTAAAAACAAAACAAAACAAAACAAAAAAACAGGAAATGTGCTCTGATAAGTTTCCTTAATGCAGAGACTAATACCATGGGTTCATGGAGACAAAACAAGCATCTGTCAACTGATCTCCTGAATCCCAGTTCTCCTGAAGGGCCCCGGGACTGATGGGAATCATCTATTGTGAGGCCACTTGCTATGAGCAACTGTTGACAGGATCCCACACTCTCATACTGACTTGGGTCTCGACAGACGGATGGGACTTGCTGAGCAGCAGGAAGAAGAAAGTACCCACAGTAGTTCCAATGAATATTCTCTTTTAAGTCATGAAGAATAAAAAACCTCAAAGACCTCACCAAAACACAATCCACTAAATGATGATGACAGATAGATAACAATGAACATAATATTCTTAATAGCTTCACACTGGAGGATCTGATGGATGAATGAAAGAGGATGTCATTCACTGGACAATGGTTAGGTTGTGTTCAAGAGTGTCTTGAATTGTTTTTGGGATAAACAGTTGCAATAAAGTATCATCAAAATCCTTAGTGTTATCAATAACAAAAAGGATGCCAATTCAGGTGTGTGTGTGTAAACCAAAGTTTCTCAGAGGCAAGCAGGAGGGAAGGGGAACTAATTGCCTGAGGGTGACAAAAACATTTGGAAATGGATAATGGTGCTGGTTACAAAACACAATGAACTCAATGTCACGGATCTGTACATGTGAAAAATGCTTCAAAAAGTGGCAACGTTTTGTGACATATATATAATTTTTTTTTTCAAAAGCTGACAGTTGTCATCTTAAGTCTATATGTTTGATTAACCTGTTTTCCAAGGGTTTGTATATAGAGGCTGTAGTAACAATAGAGAGAGACTCTTGACTCTGCATACATTTATTCAAATAAAAGTCTAATGAGAGAAGTAGAAAATCACCATCAGAACACCCCAATAGAATTGTTGCAGGAGAAAGGCACTGATACAGAGTAAAATAAATGGGCAAAGGTTGAGGAGAAACAGAATACGTATGTAGTCTCAAAATGTTTTCCTTCAAGATAGGGAGAAACAAAAACTCTACAGAGGAGGAGCCTGGCAGACCCGACCTTAATCAGGTGGTGAAGGTCAATGTTACCAGTCACGCGACAATGTTGCCACCACGTTCATCTCTACGCAGACTCTTGTATCTAAACAAGGCCTATCACTTCTGCAGTGTTCTGGACAGAAATGCATAACCTCACTATCTGATAAGTAGAAGGCTGGAGTTGTTTGTGCTCACTTCACAACAGGGCTGTGGCGACTGAAAATATCACACGCCCTGTAGAGAGGCAGACAGAGACTCAAACCCCGGCTCTGCCGCTAGTCAGCAAAGTGATGTCCTGAAGTCATCACAACCTACACCACTTCATGACAAATGAAGTGAGTAATGCCTGCTTTCCAAGGCTAGGGGGTTTCAACAGACTCCTAACATTCAGCAAAGGCCTATTTCTAACTATGACAGATACTTACCTCTCTTAGAGTTGGCTTGCCGATGAAAAAATCTGTGTTTTTGCTGCTTTTGGGTGGGCTGAACTTGGGATTCAGGAAAGCACACCCATTTGCAATGGCCTCCAGGGGAGCTGGACCCTCATAAGGAAATCCCAGTCCAACAAATAACTGTAAGATAGAACACAAAACAGTCAGGATTGGCGTCCCTGGCTCACATGCCATGTGAAATCCTCAGAGATTCTGGAAGGCACCCATGCCCCTGAAGATGGGGCAAAGAGATGTCTGCTTACAAAAGAGTCTGAAAAATATAACCAGGGATAAGTAAAAGTCCCATGAAGCCACTCATTCCTCTTCTGCTCTGCTAAAAAAAAAAAAAAAAAAAAATTAAAGAAACAAGTGCTAAGAGGGTGGAGGAGGAATAGGAGGAGCAAGTATTAAAAGGAAAGAACAAACAAACAAATAAAAAACTCAACAACAAAAATGAAGACCCAACAATCATCTTTCTGTAAGCCACCAGGAGACAAGACTGGGAAAACACTTGCTTAACCAAACAGAAGGTTTCTTCATTGAGCTTCGAGGAACAATGAGCTCTTTCAACGACGCTGGGCGGAGGGAAAGAGAGGTCACTTGGTGGTCTGACTACAGTTCAAAATAATGACTTTAAGTAGACAGTAGGTCAGGAAACACGCTGTACACACTGGGGACACCAACGCCTTGTTTCTTATTTTTCCCTCAATACAGAGAGAGGTCAATCAGCTAGGCTGCTTCCTTCTCCAGCCACTAGCTGGTGCATTTCCCCTCAGCAACCAGAAGATGGCAGCAAAAACACGCTCCAATTCCACAGCATCCTCCGTGACAAAAGGGGACTGACTGCAATTCAGTGGCACTGATTCCTGGGTCCAAAATGAAATAACACCTTCCAGACTTGCCTCACTGTGGGGATTTTCACATGACTTAGGACTATGGGTTAATGGTGGGCTGGATCCAAGTCTGGGCTTGGTGAGACATGTGCTTTCCATCTGAAATTGCTGCAGTCCTTCAAGGGCACATCAAGTGACAAAGAAGTGGTCCCAGGGCATCCTTGACTCCTGCCATCATGTTGAGTCACATCCATCCACACAGCAAGCCTTGGGCATGAAGGATATTGCTGAACCAGATACGGCTGTATGCTCGGTTCTCCTTTCCTGTCCCTCTCCCTGGCGCTCCTACCTTCACGGATGTGTTAACTGAACGATTATTTAGAATGGTTCTGCTGGAGAGTCTAAACAGCCGGGTTACCTGGGCAACCTTCTAAGATGCAAAATGTATGCTGGGCGCTGGAATCCCAGTGATGAACATGGAGCATGGCGCCTGTTTGACATATGAAAGTAATGCAGAACCTGTAGGACTTTTTCTGGGGTGAGAAACGAAAAAGCTTATGTTTTCAGGAAAATCCACACCCTATACTTTTTCCACAGAACAGAATGCACAAACTTAAAA